GAGGCTGTGGTTCTCGCTCTGGGGCGCCCCCCGCGCCCCCGCCCTCGCTGACGCCGCCCTCTCTCTTCTCTCTCTGTTCTAGGAGGAGAGTTAATATTGCCCATTATCACGGAGGACTCCTTAGACCCCCCTCCCGTGGCCACCCGCTCCCCCTTCGTGCCCCCGCCCCCCACCTTCTACCCCTTCCTCCCGGGCGTGGGCGCCACGCAGGACACCCTGCCCCCGCCCGCCGCCCGCCGGCCGCCCGCGGGGGGCCCCTGCCAGGCGGAGCAGGACGACAGCGACTGCGAGGAGCCCATGGAGGCCTCGGGCTTCGCCTCCGGGGAGGTCTTTGACTCCAGCCTCCCCCCGACGGACGACGAGGACTTTTACACCACCTTCCCCCTGGCCACGGACCGCACCACCCTGCTGGCCCCCCGCAAGCCCGCCCCCCGGCCCAACCTCAGGACAGACGGGGCCACGGGCGCCCCCGGGGTGCTGCTGGCGCCCTCCGCCCCGGCCCCCAACCTGCCCGCGGGCAAGATGAACCACCGCGACCCGCTGCAGCCCCTGCAGGAGAACCCGCCCCCGGGGCCCGGGGCCCCCACCTCCTTCGAGCCGCGGCGGCCCCCGCCCCTGCGCCCCGGCGTGACGGCGGCCCCCGGCTTCCCCCGCCTGCCCACAGCCGGCCCCACGGGCCCCGGGGAGCGCGGGCCGGGCGCCGTGGAGGTGATCCGCGAGTCCAGCAGCACCACGGGAATGGTGGTCGGCATCGTGGCGGCCGCGGCGCTCTGCATCCTCATTCTGCTCTACGCCATGTACAAGTACCGCAACCGCGACGAGGGCTCCTACCAGGTGGACCAGAGCCGCAACTACATCAGCAACTCGGCGCAGAGCAACGGCGCCGTGGTGAAGGAGAAGGCGCCCGCCGCGCCCAAGGCGCCCGGCAAGGCCAAGAGGAACAAGGACAAGGAGTACTACGTCTGAGCCGCGCCCGCCGCCGGGTCCGGGTCCGGGTCCGGGTCCGGGTCCGGGTCCGGGTCCGGCCTGTCCCGGCCGGGCCGTCCCGGGGAGGGTGCGCCGCCCGCCCCCGGCTGCCTCAGACTTCTCTCGTGAAGAGGAAACGCAAAAAAAGAAAAGAAAAAAAAGAGAAAGCAAAGGAAAACCCCGTGCTCGCCCCTTTCCTCCTGCCGACCGTCCGTCCGCCCGACCGTCCGGGCGGCGCCGGGTCCGGCGGCTGGCCCTCAGCGCTGCCCCCGGGCCGGGCGCGTGCTCACAGCCCCGGGTCGATTTATTTTTTTAAGGGGTAGTTTTATTTTGTGGGGTTGGGCGGGAAGGAAGGCCGCGGGTTTTGTAAAGTGTCCCCCTCCTTGTCCGGTTCATTTCTGCCCACTTTTCTTTCTCCCCCTTCCTTCCGCCCCTGCCGCCTTCCTTCCCTCCCAGGCCCGCCCCCCTCCCCTGCCCCCCAGGCCTGCAGTGTCTCTCGGGGGCCCCCCCCTTCCCAGTGTGTGTGTGTGTGTCTGGTTTCTCCCTTTCCTTCCTTTGGGTTTCCAGAGTCGGTGGGAGAAGGGGGGAGGGTGGGCGAGTGGCCCAGCGAGGGAGTGGGGGGCGGGTGGGGCAGTGGGTGGCCCCAGCGCCGGGCTCCGTCCACCTGGGAGAGGTGCCTTCCCGGGCCGCCGGGGGAGGGGCTGGGCCGGGGCCTGGGAAGGCCTGTCGGTGGGGTGCCGCCGGGCGAGGTGCATTGTGGGGGAAGCTGCTGGAGGAGCAGGGTGGGGGGCGGGGGGAGGGAAGGCAAACGCAGATCTATATTAAAGACAAATATCCAGTGTCCGAGCAGCAGCCTGGGCACCCGCTGGGCACCAGCAGCAGGGGAGGGAGGAGCACGGCCCTCCCGCTGCTGGGGTCACTGCCCGCCCATGGGCTCCCTGCTCCCCGGTTTTTTTCTCTCTTTGTTAACAAATGTGTCTGAGTCTTGGAAAACACCCCAACCCCGGAAATGTGTGGGGAAAGAAAACAAAACCTTTCCAAACGCGAAGGTCCCGTGCCGTTTGTTTGGGGCGGGGGCTGCTGGGGCCCTGGCCCTGGCTCCGGGCCGGGGGCTGCTGGGACCCTGAGCCTCGGCCTGCAGCTCCCAGACTTTGGGGCTGAGCATGGCGGGCCCGGGGGCAATTTCTCTTCGTTGCTGCGCAGCTGGGGCAGGAAGCAGCCCGCTGGTCTCTGGCCCTGGTTGGGTCACCCTGTAAGGCCTTGGCTCCTCCCAATGCGGACAGGGCCCCTGAGGCAGCGCTGGGGCCCCGAGTGGACGCCGCAGCCCCCGAGGCCGGTTTCTGGGTGGGGAGAGCGTTCCTGGCTGCCCTGGGTCTCCAGGTGGGGAGTCAGGAGCCAGGCCACAGTTGCCCCCAGTCCTGCCTAACCCCAAGCCTGTTCCTTCCGCAGCCTGAGCAGCCGGGACCCTGTGCCCACCACACCTCTGCGGTCCACTCTGGCTGACCCTGGGCAGCGCCTGGGCCGCGGGAGGAAGGAGACCAGGCACTCCTCACCCTCGGGGGCTCGCTCCTTCGTGGAGACACAGGCCCAGGCGAGCTGCGAGGCGCTGGGTGGTGGTTTTAGAGGGAGGAAGGCAGAGTGAGAGAGAGGCAGTCACTGGCTGGTTCTCGCGTGTGCTGGGCCAGGAATAGAGCCACATCCTTGCACTTTAAGGCCACGCTCTAACCAACGGAGCCACCCGGCCAGGCCTGTCTGGAAGCCCCTCGGTTGCGGGTGCGAGGTGGGGCAGTAGGTGAGCAGGCACCGGGCACCCTCAGGAGAGCAGGGTGCAGGGGGCGTGCCACCAGGCCCTGAGCAGGAGATGGCTCAGACTCTCCTGCTTCTGCTCAGGGAGCGGACCCCTCCCGGCTCTGGGCGCCATCACCCTGCATGGCCGCCTCATCCTGTCTCCATCCCCCACGGCGTCTGCTGCTGCCCAGCTCGCTCCCATGCATGTGCCGCTCACAAACCCGGTCCATGCTTCAGCTTAGACACCCCAGGCCCTTGGCTCCGTCCCTGCTGAGCCCTCTCTCCCACCCTCCATTCTGGGAGGCAGCCTTTGTCCCCATGGGGTGTAGCCTCAGGTCCTGGAGTCCTCCCCAGAGTCCTAGGGGCTGGGTTTCCATGGCCTGACCTCTCTGCCCCCCTAGCCAGCCCCTCCGGGGGGGAGGCGCTGTGCCCTTCCCCTCACTGCTCAGTCGGAGCCTGAGGTCAGGATCCCGGGCCGCCCCGGGGGGAAGCTGGCGGAGGCCCTGGCTGGGGCAGGCTGGCCTGTCCCCGAGCAGGCGCTGGCCTGTCCCCAGGTCCGCCGCCACCACTCTGTCCAAGGGACGGACTTGCCCCACGTTCCCTGCCCCTGCCCCACCCGCCAAAGAAAGACACAGGCAGCAGGCAAGGAGGGAAGGAGCATCCTTACTTCAGAAATTCTAGAACAGCCCTGACCAGCCCGTCAGGAGCCGGGGCCAGAGGGGGCAGTGCGGGGGCAAGGGGGTTGCAGGCCGAGGGCCCCTCTGCACAGGGAGGCAGGAGCTCCTGGCCTGGGCGGGGGGTGGGGTGGGGGGTTCAAAGGCTCGGCGGGGCGAGGAGAGGCTCCTGGACCTGCCATTGACTCGGTTTACCCATCGGTAAGAGATGGTCCCCGCAGCCTCCCCGCCTTTGTCTGGGGCTCCCGGCGTTGGGCCTGGCTGGGCCTCGGGGTCTGGCCGGCCCGGGGGTGGCAGAAGTTCAGGCACGCCGCTCATGGCAGTTAGTACTGGGGGGGGGGGTGGTGTCAGGAGAGTCCACCTTGGGGGGAACAGGACAGGCCTGGGAGGGAGCTGGAGAGACGTCGGGCTGAAGCCGTGGACCCGGAAGTCCTGCCCTGAAGCCCCCGGGGGAGGGAGCACAGCTCGGCCGCCGCTGGGCTCCTCGGGGGGACGGCCCCGGAGGTGGACATGGAGCCCGGGGCGCCCCCGGGAAGGCCTGCCGTTCGGGGGCTGCGCCTGGCCGTGGTGCACCGTCTCCCTCCGCGGCCTCGGTGACGCCACTCCCTGGTGGCGGAGCGAGGATTGTGGCCGCCGAATAGGACGGCAGCGAGGCCCCTCAGGCCCCTGCGGGGACCTCGCCGGTTTGGAGGGGAGGCCCTGCCCGCTGCCCGCGGGCCTGAGGCCTGAGCTGCTCGCCGCCTGCGGCCCCTCGTGGCTCAGGTCACGGCACCTGCTTCCCCTCTGGGAACCGGCAGAGTCCACCTCGAAGGCTTCGGACAAGATGGACTGAGAGGTGCCCTGAGGTGCCCGCCTGGTGCCGGGCCATAACGGGGGTGGCAGAGAGCAGCTGCTCAGGGCCCCAGCCAGGAGCCCCCCCGGCAGACCGTGGGCCCATCGCCAAGTCCGAGGGCCAGTCCTTTGTTCCTCTGTTCACGCTCTCGTCTCCCTCGGCTGTGTCCGCTGCCGGCTCTGAGTGGGAGCTGGGCCCCAGGCCCCCCGGGGACTCGCAGGCTGGGGGTGGGAGCCGGTGTGTGGAGGGGGCCGTGGGTACGGGTTCCACTGAACCCCGGGCTGGGCCTGGGCCTGGAATGGGACACGGCCTGGGTCTGGGAGGCTGTGGCGTGTGGTGGTGGGGGGGGGAGTCAGGAGGAGACGTGGCCGCCAGGCGGGCCTGGCTGTGCGGCTGAGTGTGCTGAGGAGGGGCCAGGAGCCACCTTCCGGGTGAGGCTGAGGAGCCAGCGCTCCATCCCTGGGAGCCCTCAGGCGGAGAAGCCGGGAGGCTTTGGCCACGGGTGCCGACCCGCCAGGAGGGCGGCTGGGACCCCAGGCTGGCCTCCCTGGCCCGGCCTGGCTCCTCTGCCCCGCGAGAGGAGTTAGTGGCCTCCTGTCAATCACACCGGCCGTTGCCCGTTCTGTGTTGGAGGCGGCTCCTCAGTGAGAGCAGGGCTGGCCGGGGGGCGGCCCCCGGGTCCCGGGAGTCCAGGCCTCCGGGCTCCTGCCGTCAGCAGAGGACAGCAGGCGCTCAGGAGCCTACAGCTGCGTGGACTTCAGGACAGACGGCCCCCGGGCACCCTGCGTGGCCTTCTTCACCGACCTGTCCGGAGAGATGCGGAGGGAGGAGTTGTGTCTTGAAGGTGCAGTGACCCCTGACCTCTGACCTGTGTCCATCCTGAGGATTCAGCCGATCCTGCTGCTCTCAGGGCCCGGGGGCAGGCGATGGGCAGTGACAGCCTTACCGGCATCTTGGGGCTATCGGAGCAGAGTCTGGGGCCAGGGAAGACCCCACAGGGGCCGTCCTGCCCTCGGCTCCCCCTTACACAGGGCTGCACAGCCTCCCCCTGATTCTCTCCAGGTGGAGCTGGGCGGCTGGGCCACAGAACGAAGAACAGGGCACACAACCCACACCGTCAGCGGGAGACCCAGCCCTCGGCCTCGGCCCCTCACAGACGTGCGGTGTGCCTCCCGCCCGATACCGTCCCTCTCTGGGCCTCTGCTTCTCCTCCGTCCAGGGAGCGGGTGGTGGCCAGGCCCCCCTGCCCGAGTTCCGGTTTACTCACTGGCTCTGCACATCCTGGATGGTGTCGGGCAGCGGAAGGTTCTGGGTCTCGGGCAGCAACAGTGCGGTCAGGCCGCTCAGCACGGGCACCGCCCCGTACACCAGCAGGGGCAGTGAGGGGTGGTAGACGCCCAGGAGCCGGACCAGAGGCCCCAGGATGGCTCCCCCTCGGGCCGCCATCTGGCCCAGGCCCACCGCGGTCATCCTGTGGGCACAGCGCCCGGTGAGGGGCACGGCCCAGCCCTGCTCTGCCCGGGGAGGGGCCGTGGGTCAGCCGGGACCCCACGGGAGAGACACACCAGGCTGAGCCCAGGCCCGGGGAGGCCTGCCCAGGCCGCCCCGCGGGGCCGGCGCCCTCACCTGAGCACGGTGGGGAAGAGCTCTCCCGTGTAGACGGAGACGCAGGTGAAGGCCACCCCGAGCCAGCCGAGCCCCAGCAGGGCCAGGGCCGAGCGCAGGGGCCTCATGCCTGTGGCGGCGACAGGATGGCAGGGCCAGCGTCAGCTGGAGGCGCTCTCCCTCACCTCCCATGTCTGCCCCTTCCCTGGGGTGTCCCCAGACCCCACACAGGCACCGTGTCCTCAGTGGCCTCATAGCCACCCTCTCGAATCCCCCCGTCTGTTTCCCACCCAGACACCCAGAGCCAGACCCAGGGGGTCCTCCTGCCCCCCCTTTCCCCGCCCCCGTCCCCACAACTCATCGCGAGTCCTTATCCATCTGCAGTTTCCAGTGTCGCCCGCCCCCCTCCACCCCTGCTCCCCTGCCCGGTCAGGCCCCCCCCCCCCCCGCCGCCGCCTCCCCAGCGGGGCCCGTGCCGGTCTGCTCACCGCGGGGCACCAGCGCGTTGGCCAGGATGCAGAGCCCGGCCAGCGCCAGCGAGGCGGCCTGCGTGGGGCGGCGGCCCAGGCGGCCCAGCAGCAGCAGGGTGCCCAGCTTGGCCGCCATGTCCACGGCCCCCAGGAGGACCTGCAGCAGGAAGACGTCGCTGCCCAGGGCCTGCAGGTCCAGAGCCAGGCCGAAGAAGGTGAAGCCGAAGGCGAACCTGGGGGCGGGCGGGGTCAGGCGGAGGCGGGGGCCGTCCAGGGCTTAGTCCTCAGGCCCCCTCCGCCCGCCGTGGCCTCCATGGCAGAGGGTGTCTCTGAGACGGCCTTTCCCGGCTCCCTGCCAGCGGCCTCCTTAGGGCTGGCCGATGGGAGGCACCCGTGGGGCTGGAGGCGGGGCCGGGGAGAAGCTGGAGGCGGGGCCGGGGAGAAGCTGGAGGCGGGGCCGGGGAGAAGCTGGAGGCGGGGCCGGGGAGAAGCTGGAGGTGGGGCTGGGGAGAAGCTGGAGGCGGGGCCGGGGAGAAGCTGGAGGCGGGGAGAAGCTGGAGGCGGGGAGAAGCTGGAGGCGGGGCCGGGGAGAAGCTGGAGGCAGGGAGAAGCTGGAGGCGAGGCCGGGGAGAAGCTGGAGGCGGGGAGAAGCTGGAGGCAGGGAGAAGCTGGAGGCGGGGAGAGGCTGGAGGCGGGGAGAAGCTGGAGGCGGGGAGAGGCTGGAGGTGGAGAGGCTGGAGGTGGGGAGAGGCTGGAGGCGGGGAGAGGCTGGAGGCGGGGCCGGGGAGAAGCTGGAGGCAGGGAGAAGCTGGAGGCGGGGAGAAGCTGGAGGTGGGGAGAGGCTGGAGGCGGGGCCGGGGAGAAGCTGGAGGCGGGGAGAGGCTGGAGGCGGGGAGAGGCTGGAGGCGGGGAGAGGCTGGAGGTGGAGAGGCTGGAGGTGGGGAGAGGCTGGAGGCGGGGAGAGGCTGGAGGCGGGGCCGGGGAGAAGCTGGAGGCAGGGAGAAGCTGGAGGCGGGGAGAAGCTGGAGGTGGGGAGAGGCTGGAGGCGGGGCCGGGGAGAAGCTGGAGGCGGGGAGAGGCTGGAGGCGGGGAGAGGCTGGAGGCGGGGAGAGGCTGGAGGCGGGGAGAGGCTGGAGGCAGGGAGAAGCTGGAGGTGGGGAGAAGCTGGAGGCAGGGAGAAGCTGGAGGCGGGGCCGGGGAGAAGCTGGAGGCGGGGAGAGGCTGGAGGCGGGGAGAAGCTGGAGGCGAGGCCGGGGAGAAGCTGGAGGCTCCTCCCTCCCTTGCCCTGGGTGCCCTGGGTGCCCTGTGCCCTGCAGGGCTCCGTCGTCCCTGAGCAGCCCTGCGCTGAGGCCTCTTTGCTGGGTGCCCTGGCTCCCAGGCTCTGAAAAGGCCCCCCCACCCTCCTGGTCCCTCCACACTAGGGGTGTGCTTTCTGGTGCTGAGTTCTGACTCCTCGTCCTCCTGGGCTCCTCAGAGCCTTCATTATGAATCCTCCTGTTCCTCTCTTCTGGCCCTCAGCTGCCTGAGCCGCCCGCCTGGCCACTCCCCTGGTGGAGGCGCGAGCTGTAGCCTCTGCCCGAGCACCCCCCCCCCCACAGCAGTGGGACCAGCCGGAGAGCCCCAGGGGCCCTGCCGGACGCAGCAGAGCCCGACGGGGCCGGGGTGGGGGGGGGGGCGGGGGAAGGCAGGCCGGGGGCCTGGGGCGCGGGCGGAGGCGGGCGTGGGGGGGGGGAGGCGGGCCGGTGGCCTGGGGCGCGGGCGGAGGCGGGCGTGGGGGGGGGGAGGCGGGCCGGGGGCCTGGGGCGTGGGCGGAGGCGGGCGGGGGGGGGGGGGGGGGAGGCGGGCCGGGGGCCTGGGGCGCGGGTGGAGGCGGGCGGGGGGGGGGGGGGGGGGTGAAGGCATCTACCAGCTCAGCATGGACACGGCCGTCCGGAGGCCCAGCCCGGCCCCGCAGAGGCTGCCCAGGCCGGCGGGCGCCCGGCCCGCCCGGAGCTCCTCCTGCATGGCAGAGAGCACCACCTGCGGGCGGGCGGGAGGGGGGCAGTGTCAGCGCTGGCAGCTCCGGCCGCCCCGGACCCTCATCCGGGCCAGGCCCTCTCGAAGGCCCTGTGGGGGGCAGGGCGAGGCCGCAGGCCCAGCCTCACCTCCATGGTCAGCGCGTCGCCCGCGGCCCTCCTGCCGTTGATGGCGGCCACCCGCTGCAGCTCCCGCAGGCCCTGCTCCAGCCGGCCGGTGATGAGCAGCCAGCGCGCCGACTCCGCCAGCCACCTGGGGGGGCACTGCCTGTGGGTGGCCGGGGCCTGGCCTCCACAGCCTCCTGACCCCCTCGCCCCTCTGCCCCACGGGTGGCCTCACTGTGTCCACAGGCCCTGGACTCGGGGGGTGATGCCCGGGCGGCAGTGACGGCGCTACATGTGGCAGCCGCCCTCCTTCCTCCCTCCTCCCTCCTCCGTCCTCCTCCCTCCTCCCTCCACTGTCCTCCCTCCTCCTCCATCCTCCGTCCTCCCTCCTCCCTCCTCCTCTTCCCCCTTTCCTCCTCCATCCTCCCTCCTTCCTCCTCCCTCCTCCATCCTCCTCCCTCCTCCCTCCTCCCTCCTCCCTCCTCCCTCCTCCCTCCACTGTCCTCCCTCCTCCTCCATCCTCCGTCCTCCCTCCTCCCTCCTCCTCTTCCCCCTTTCCTCCTCCATCCTCCCTCCTTCCTCCTCCCTCCTCCATCCTCCTCCCTCCTCCCTCCTCCCTCCTCCGTCCTCCTCCCTCCTCCCTCCACTGTCCTCCCTCCTCCTCCATCCTCCGTCCTCCCTCCTCCCTCCTCCTCTTCCCCCTTTCCTCCTCCATCCTCCCTCCTTCCTCCTCCCTCCTCCATCCTCCTCCCTCCTCCCTCCTCCCTCCTCCCTCCTCCTCCCTTCTCCCTCCTCCCTCCTCCCTCCACTGTCCTCCCTCCTCCTCCATCCTCCGTCCTCCCTCCTCCCTCCTCCTCCTCCCTCCGCTGGGTTGAGGTGGGGGGTCCCTGTTCTCCCCTTCCCTTGCCTCACCTGGGAGCCGGGCCTGGGCCCGGATACCACACCCGTCTCCAGGGCTGCACCTCCTGCCTGGGCCGACCACGCCCCCCACACCCCAACCTGCACACAGCTTCCCACTTGCCCCGGGGTCAGGCCTGGAGAAGGGTCTTTGGTCCTACACCCCCCCCCCTTCACCAGGGAGTCAACAGTGCTCAGCACCCCCGGGGGCGGCGCCCCATTCCCCGGGGCGGCGGGGGTGGGGTGGGCAGGGGGGGGGGGCGGGCAGGGCCGGGGTGGCGGGGGAGGGGGGAGGGCGGCGGCCCCATTCCCCGGGGTGGCGGGGGGGGGGTGGGGGGAGAGGGCGGCGCCCCATTCCCCGGGGTGGCGGGGGGGTGGGGGGGAGGGCGGCGCCCCATTCCCTGGGACGGCAGGGGTGGGGTGGGCAGGGGGGGGGCGGGCAGGGCCGGGGCGGCGGGGGAGGGGGGGAGGGCGGCGCCCCATTCCCTGGGACGGCAGGGGGGGGCGGCGGGCAGGGCCGGGGCGGCGGGGGGCGCCCACCAGGAGTACACGAAGCAGAGGAAGAAGGGCAGGGACACGGCCAGCTGCAGCCGCGCCCAGTCGCGCACGCCGTAGGCCACGGCGGCCATGAGCACCATGCCGAAGCTGTAGCCCAGCGAGTTGAAGGTCATGGCCAGGACGCGGGCTCGTGTCGACGTCCACTCCATCACTGCGGGGAGACCGAGTCACCCCGCGCCTCCGGGCCCCCCGCCCGGCCCCCCCAGCCCGGACCCCCGCCCGGACCCCCAGCCCGGCCCCCCGCCCGGCCCCCTCAGCCCGGCCCCTCCCCGCCCGGGCCCCCCGCCCAGCCCCCCGCCCGGCCCCCCACCCGGCCCCCCGCTGCCCGGACCCCCGCCCGGCCGGCACCTACGCAGCGTGGCCGTGTTCATCATGACGCCGGCCACGGCCAGGGCGCCCAGGAAGCGGAAGAGGCAGTAGAGCAGGAAGGAGGGCGCGAGGGCGGCCGCGGAGCCCCACACGGCCATCTGCAGGTAGCTCCAGCTCAGCACCCGCCGGCGCCCGAACCTGTCTCACCGGGAGGGCCACGGTCGGCCACGGTCGGCCACGGAGCGACCCCAGGCCGCGCCGCGCTCCCGCCGAGCGGAGGGCAGGCTGAGCGACACCTGCGGCCCTGGCCGGTGTGGCTCAGTGGGTAGAGCACCGGCCTGCGGACTGAAGGGTCCCGGGTTCGGCTCCGGTCGGGGGCACTTGCCTGGGTTGCAGGCTCTCTCCCCATTGGGGAGCGTGGAGGAGGCAGCTGATCAATGATTCTCTTTATCATTGATATTTCTCTCTCCCTCTCCCTTCTCTGAAATCAATAAAGATATTTTTAAAAATAAAATGACACCTGGGGTTAGAGCCACACTTTTTTTTTTTGTTGTTGCTAATCCTCACCTGAGAATATTTTTCGGTTGATCTTTTAGAGAGAGTGGAAGAGAGCAAGGGGAAGGCAGAGAGAAATATCGATGTGAGAGAGACACATCGATCAGCTGCCTCCTGCACAGGCTCCGACCAGGGCCCAGGCCGGAAGGAGCCTGTGACCAAGGTATGTGCCCGTGACTGGAATCGAACCCGGGACCCTTCGGTCCACAGGCCGACTCTCTATCCACTGAGCCACACCAGCGGGGGCCAGAGCCACGCTCTTTGCCCGTGGAGGCTCCTGGGCACCAGTGGGCACTGGTGCTGTCGGGGGAACGAGTTCCCAGCAGCGGGGCGGCCGAAGGCGGGGGCGCCGAGCAGGTGTGAGCTGTGATGTCTGATGAGCACGGCCCCCCACAGCCCAGGAGCCGGGAGCCCGAGGCCCAGAGGGTGAGCCTGCGCACAGCCAGCTGGGTGCAGGAGGGGCCCACACGCGGGCATCCATCCGGACGAGGGCGCAGCCTGCCCGGGTTGGGGGGGGTTCGCACCTGTCGGAGGCCTGGCCAGCCACTGCGGCTCCCACCAGGACGCCCGCCAGGAAGATGGACTGGGCCATGGGCTTCAGGGCCTGCGAGTCACACACCAGGTCCCACTGCGGGGAGAGGAGGGAGCGGAGCTCAGGAGGTGGGAGCCCGGGGGGATGAGGGGGGCTCTTAGGGGAGCAGGTGTGGGGGCAGCCTGAGGCCCCGAGGGCTGTGGGCAGGGCCCGTGGGACAGCCAGGCTGTCACTGCTTGCCTCTGCCTTCCTCTGCCTTCCCTCGTCAGGGGCCCAGCCTCTCTGCCTCCTCTCCCGCCCTCCCTCCCACTTCCCTCTGGTTCTTTACAAAGAGCCCCTTCCCGCCGGCTGTGGGCCACCTCCCACGCCCGGATCTGCCCGTGCCCCGGCCACCCCTGAGCCTCATGATCGCCCTGAGCCCCTGGCAGGCCGAGCCGCTGGGCGGCACGTCAGGGAGCCGCCTGCCTCCCGGCTGATGAGCGGTGCCATCCGGGTCACCCGCCGCCCACTGCCGGGGCCTGGCGGGCGGTCTCCTGGCACCGGCCCCCGGGGCGGCCGCGAGAGCCGTGGCTCTGAGGGCCGGGCCGGGCGGCGCTCACCTCGGCCACGATGGTGGAGGAGAAGGTGCTGCGGTCGTACACCCAGCCGTCCACGCACGGCTCCGTGGCCGCCTCGCTCCAGTGGGCGGCCGTGGCGTTGGGCGCCAGGAGCTGCCACTGCGGGCGGCGGAAGCGGCGGCAGGGGTGGGGGCCGTGGCCGGGACCCGGCGGGATGGCCGCGGCCAGCAGGGCGCCGGGGCCCGGGGCGCCGGGCGCGCCCGCCCGGGCGGTGCTGTTGTCCAGGAGGGGCACCCAGCAGCGGTGCGCGGGCACGGCGGCCGAGAAGTTCTCCAGCACGTTCTGCGTGGTCAGCCACATGATGGGCACGGCCAGCGCCACGGCCTGCAGCAGCTGCAGGCGGCCCAGGCTGCCCACGCGCTCCAGGAGCTCAGCGAAGGCCATGGCGCTGCCCCGGGGGCTCGGCGGCCGGCTCGGGGGCCGCGGGCGGCCGGCGGGCAGCGAGGGCGTCTCCCCGGGGCCCAGGGCATGCAGCCCCCCCGCCGGGAGGCCGGGCAGCTGTCACTCCGGGCGGCTCCCGCCGCTGGCACCTCCTCGGCCGTGAACTTGAGACGGCGGTCACCCGGCTGGAACGGAGCGGGCCAGGTGGCTCCTCGGGAAGAGGGTCAGCGATCAGTTCCCGTCAACGTTTAACCCGGCGTGAGGGCGCCTGCCGGGTGTGGGCTGGGCTCTGCCCCGTCTGCAGCCGCCCCTAGCACCCGGGTCTGCCTCGCTGGATCCTCCTGACCGTGGGCTGGCGTGAGCCTGAGCGCATCCGTGCACCGAGGACCTGTGTGTGCCCAGGTGTGCGTGTGTGGATGAGTGTGCACGCATGTGCGTGTTTGCACGTGTGTGTGCACATGTGCTTTTGTGTGTGTGTGTGTGTGTGTGTGTGTGTGTGTCCCGGCCTCGTGAACATCTCCCGCCAAAGCTGAGCCCCTTTCCCCGTGCTGCCCCCACCCCCACTGCAGCACCCACGCTGCCTCCTGTGCAGGGGCCACCCTGCCCCTCGTCCTTCCTCGCCCCCCGCGCCCTCGGCCGGGGAGTCCTGGGCCCGGCCACAGGGCACACAGACAGGCCACCCGCTCCCCTGCCCGGCAGCCTCGCCCAGGATCACGGCCGAGGCCTCCTTGCTGGCCTCCCGCCTCCCCCCTGAGCCGGCACAGCTGGTTCTCACACTCGGACCCAGGATGCCGCTCACGTCCTCGCACCCAGGCTCCTGCGGTGCCCGAGCCTGGCCGTGCGGCCTCACGGCGACGGGAAGCCACGCCGGCACGCAGGGCCCCGCTCACCTGCTGCTCAATGCCTCCTCCGTCTGCTTCCCACACGCGCACGTTAGCTCCTCAGAGGCCTCGCCGTGGCCGGCAGCTCAGCCCACACCCCAAACGCCCAGAACACACAAACCAAAACCGCGCTGCGTCCGGCCCCGCCGGCCAGTCCTCGCTGCAGTTCCCATCTCTGGTCGGGGCTTCTGGGAAGCAGGTGGGTGTGGGGGGGCGGCCCCTGCAGCTCAGGGACCTGCGCGCTGGCTGAGTTCAGGCTGCTGCTCGGCCCTTCGGCTGAGACTGACTTCCCAGCGATGGGCCTTGTCCTCCCAGAATGTATGCGTTTCGCTTAGAAATGACGATGGGTTCTTCCTGGACCGCCGTGCGAGCCTCGAACCCCCGCCCCGGCTGCGTGGCTGTGATCACCCTGGGCCTCCCGGAGGGTCCGAGCGCTTTCCCGCGTTCATTCGCCGAGAACGTCGCTGAGTTCCTGGCCCTGGGGGAGCCGCCGGGAGCAACAGTCCCTGCTCCGTGGAGCGCAGGGCCCCGGACAGAATAAGGCGCCTGTGTGCAGAGGAAGGGCCACTCCGGGTGGAGGCCTCTCTGTGGAGGGGACGAGGCCCACGATGCCTGGGGCGGGGGAGCATTCCAAGCACAGGGAGGAGCACGTGCAAAGGTCCTGGGGCCGGCATGTGCCTCAGGGTGCCGTCTGGGGGCCGTGTGGCCGGAGTGAGTGAGCATGAGAGAGAGTAGGATGGGGCAGGGCGGAGCCGTTACGGGGCGGAGACATAGAGATCTTACAGGGGTTTTAGGGCGACCCCTGGCTGCTGTGTGGAGAACACGCTGGAAGGGGGGTCCGTGAGGGACGCCGGGATCCGGGCTGGCAGAGGGCTGCCCGGGGCGCTGCCTGTCTGCGGGAGGATGTGAGGCTGCGGGGAGCGTGGCCTGGCGGGCGGTGCAGGGGCGTTACTGATGCCGGACAGGATGGGGGACAGCACGGTCCAGGGGAGGTGACCTGGCCGGCTGCCAGCCCCCGGGCGGTGGGGTCGGCAGCGAGCTGGTGTTTGGAGGGAGGGGAGACGGAGGCATCTGACAGCCGAGGGCCTGTCGAGTCCGGGCCGGGTGAGCTCCCCGAGGTCGGAGGCTGAGGCCTGGAGTCCAGGCTCAGAGGGTCAGCCACGCCTGCGGGCAGGAGCCGGGCAGCACTGCGGGCCCCGCCAGCCAGGACGGGTGCTGAGGGCGCGGGCGGCGAGGCCAGAGCTGGCAGTGGGCGTGCTGGTGCCCGTGGCGGACATGCTGTGTCTCGAGGGGGCAATGGGCATGGGGTCGGGAGACAGAGGCTGCAGACACCTCCCTTAGGGAGCGAGGGGCACCGAGCGGGACTGGGTGTGCGTCAACGAGGGGACCGCCAGCCGCCCTCACACCCAGCCCGGCCGTGGGGACGAGGGCGGTGACGTCATTCCGAGCGGGGAGGCGAGCTGCGGGCAGAGCCCAGCCTCTCCTTCTTCGGACCTGGCGCCGGGGCCTCCCCGGCCGGATCGCCATTCCTCCCTCCTCTTCCCCGCCTCTCCTCCGTGTCCTGTGGCGACCGCAGCTGCTCGGTCCGCGCCGGGCGGGAGGACGGCCGGGGGGGAGGGTGGCCGGGCGGGAGGACGGCCGGGGGGGGGCTGCCAGGCGGGAGGACGGCCGGGGGGGGGCTGCCAGGCGGGAGGACGGCCGGGGGGGGGAGGGCTACCGGGGAGGGCCCCCAGGCACATCCCCAACACCCACTCCCCAGCGTCGGGTCACCGCTCCCATCTCTGTGGCTCCCAGTGGGCACTTGTCAGCAGAGCCTGCCCCCGCCCGGCCTCCCGCGGCAGCTGTCACCGGCTTTGGCTCATCTTCCCGGGGCCCCAACGCCACTGTCCGGGGGCAGCCAGGCCGGCTCCGCAGCCGCAGGCTGCCGGCTCCGCACCCGCAGGCAGGGCCGGGCTGGGGGGAGTGTGTCCCAGGCCCGGGGGTGACTGTGTCCCGGGCCCGGGCTGGGGCTGGGGGCAGGGCAGGCCCGGGCTGGGGGGCAGGGCAGGCCCGGGCTGGGGGGAGTGTGCCCCGGCCTGGGGGTGAGTGTGTCCCGGGCCCGGGCTGGGGCTGGGGCAGGGCAGGCCCGGGCTGGGGGTGAGTGTGTCCTGGGCCCGGGCTGGGGGTGAGTGTGTCCTGGGCCCAGGCTGGGGCTGGGGGCAGGGCAGGCCCGGGCTGGGGGGCAGGGCAGGCCCGGGCTGGGGGGAGTGTGCCCCGGCCTGGGGGTGAGTGTGTCCCGGGCCCGGGCTGGGGCTGGGGCAGGGCAGGCCCGGGCTGGGGGTGAGTGTGTCCTGGGCCCGGGCTGGGGGTGAGTGTGTCCTGGGCCCAGGCTGGGGCTGGGGGCAGGGCAGGCCCGGGCTGGGGGGCAGGGCAGGCCCGGGCTGGGGGGAGTGTGCCCCGGCCTGGGGGTGAGTGTGTCCCGGGCCCGGGCTGGGGCTGGCGCAGGGCAGGCCCGGGCTGGGGCTGGGGGCAGGGCGGGCCCGGGCTGGGGGGAGTGTGTTCGGGCCCGGGCTGGGGCTGGGGGCAGGGCAGGCCCGGGCTGGGGCTGGCGCAGGGCAGGCCCGGGCTGGGGGGAGTGTGTCCGTGCCTTTAATCGGCCCTGGTGGGAGCTGCCGCGCTCGCTCGTTCACTCACCCCGGCTCCCGGAGCCCCCGCCCCGGCGCCTCTGGCCCCTGCACAGCCTCCGCTAAGTAGGTCAAGGAGACCGGGCGCTGGGCAGGCGCTGGGCAGCCGCCGGCTCCTTCCTTCCCAGTGCCCGGCGCCGCCCGCACGCCCGGCCGCCTCCACGGCGGGGACTTCGCTCTCCTCGTGTCAACGCGATTCCTCGTGTTAAAATTCAACCGCAATGCTCACCGGCCGGCGGGACCGGACGCGTCCGAACTCAGCTGCCCCCGCGCTGGGCGAGCGCCTTGCCCGCAGCTGACGGCCGGCAGCTGCACCTGTTAGCGTTTTAACCAGGCGGGATGCGGGCACTGCCCCACCCGGCCCTCTGCCCCTTCCCTGGAGCCGTGCCCCTGCCCGGCAGCTGGGCCCGCGTCCAGCCTGGGCCTTTGCTGTGGGAAGCCGGTTTAGCTGACAAACAGCTTGCCATCCCACCGCTAACTCCTGGTGGGCCCGAGGCTGGCTCTGGGCGGGCACTACGCCTTGCCACCATCCATCTCCCTCCATGTCTCTCTTTCTATTTTTATTGGTTTCAGAGAGGAAGGGAAAGGGGAGAGAGAAACATCCACGATGAGAGAGAGCCATCGATCAACTGCCTCCTGCACGCCCCATGCTGGGGCCTGAGCTGCAGTTTGGGCCTGTGCCCTGACCTGGAACCCACTGGAACCTTCTGGTCTATAGGCCGACGCTCACCCCCTGAGCCGCCCGCCGGGCGTGGTGGCTTGAACGAACCTTCTTCTTTTCTGAGCGCAAACACCTGGAAGGTGAGGAACGGGGCTCTGGGCTCTCAGGCTGCTCGCACCCGGGCTGCTGGAGCAGAATGCAGGACGGATTGGGCGGAGGGTGCAGGGGGCCTCCCGGCTCCTGGAAGGACCCTGTCCCCGCCGTCTGCCTGCCACGGGGCCTGTGAGCATCCTGTGTTTCTGTCCTGGATGCCCCTGTACCCTGGATGCAGCCCCACCTTCATTTACACAGACACACACGCATGCATGCACACAGGCGCGCACACACAGAGATGCACACACATGCACACAGGTGCACACTCAGGCACCGTTTGCTAAGTCCTCGAGGCTGGAGGAGACAAAGGGCACGTGTGCCCACAGCCCTGAGGACCTCCCTGCCTGCGTGGGCTGCACAGTCCTACCTGCTGGCCGTCCCCTCCCCACCCTCTCTCTCCTCTGCTTCCCCACCACACAGGTCTGCTCTTCTGTCCCTTCTGCTGCTCTTTCTTCTGCAAAAACAGGTGTCCTCGGGGTCTCACCTTCCCCCGTGGCCTCACCAAGGGGTTTTCCTGAGCCACGACCGCTGTATCTCTGACAGGAAGTCCGTTCTCAGCTCTTAGAGTTGTAGGTGCTCCACGTGACCGGCTGGAAAGGCACAGGCCCCCTTAGGCAGCTCCTCCGGGACGCAGGCAGGCGGAGACCCCCCCCTCCAGCCTCCGCCACCCGCTGAGCCTGGTGAGACCGGAGTGGCTCCTGTGGTGCTGTGCTCCCCCCTCATTGCCAGGCCCAGGACCCCAGCGCGGTATCAGCCGGCATGCTGGGCTGGCATTTGACTAGGGTGGCACTGAATCCATCAATTCCTAGGCGGATAAATGACATCTTGGTAATAGTCTTCCAATCCATGGACATGGTATATCTCTCCATTTATTTAGGTCTTCTCTTTAACTTTTCAGCAACGTTTCGTCGTTTTTTAGTGTATGTATGGATCTTGCCTTTCTGCCCCGTGCTGTTCAGTGGTATTTTCTGGTTATTACTAGCATACAGAAATACAACAGATTTTTGTATATCGACCTTGTATCCTGCAACCTTACTCAACTCCTTTGTTATTTCAAGTAACATGTTAGTAGAGTTTTAAGTATTTTCTACCATTACGTCATCTGCCAATAGAGACCGTTTTGTCTTCCTTTCTCATCTGTGTGCCTTTTACTTATTTTTTTCTCGCCTTGATTGCGCTGACTAGGACCAGTGTTGGACAGAAGGGATGAAAGTGGACGTCCCAGATTCATTTATAACTGAGGGAAGCCCCAGGCCTCCGCCATCAAGCACGGGCACCACTGGGTTTTCCACAGGTGCCCTCTCTCAGGCGGAGCGAGTGTTCCCAGTTTGCAGAATGCCATTTGTAAGGACTAAATGCTCTTCCTATTGGGACGATCCCATGGCTTGTTAACAATTATGTTTGTTTATGCCGAAACCGGTTTGGTTCAATGAATAGAGCGTCGGCTTGGGGACTGAAAGGTCCCGGGTTCGATTCCGGTCAAGGGCATGTATCTTGGTTGCGGGCATATCCCCAGTAGGGGGTGTGCAAGAGGCAGCTGATCGATGACTCTCTCTCATCGATGTTTCTAACTATCTCTCTCCCTTCCTCTCTGTACAAAATCAATAAAATATATATTTTTTTAAATTATGTTTGTTTACCTTGATTTTTGAATATTAAACCAACTCCGAATTCCTGGGACAGACTCCACTTGGTCATGATGTGTTGCCCTTTTTAACATATTGTTGGATTCAATTTCCTAAATATTTATTAAGAATTTGTGTGTCTGTGTTTGCAAGCGATATTGACTTGTAGTTTCCTTTTCTTACCAGAGGCCCAGTGCATGAATGTGTGTGCAGGTGAGGTCCGGCCGGCCTGCCCCGATGGGGCCCATCGGACTGGGCCAGCGGGGGTGGGGGGAGGTGAGGGGTTGGCCAGCCACAGTGCATATCATAGCAACTGGTCCTTCCAGGCATCCCAGTGTTTCGGCTGCTTGGCTTTTATAAACAGAGATGTGTGTGTCTTCTGATTTTGATACCAGAGTAATGCTGCCCTCACAGTATGAATTTAGAGGTGTTCTCTCTTTTTCCATTTTACGGAGGATTTTGAGTAGAATTGGTAGTATTTCTTGCTTAAATGTTTGGCAGAATTAACCAGTGAAACCATTAACCGAAAAGACCTGGGATTTTTCTCTGTGGGAAGCGTTAAGCCATAAGTTCACTTTCTTTAATAGATGCAGGTCTAACTTTGTTATCTATTTCTTCCTGAGTGAGCTTTGGTAGTTTGTATCCTTCAAGAAATGTGTCGATTTCATCTAAGTTGTCTAATCTATCTATCTATCTATCTATCTATCTATCTATCTAAAAACCCAGCAACCATAGACTGTAACACCGGTCACTATGACACCCACAGTGGCCAGCGAACAGGCCTGATCAGGGTGTGGGGCCAACAGGCCAACCTCCCAGCCCCTCCCGCTGCCGGCCTGCCCTGACCGGACTCTCCCCTGGATCAAGAGCGGGGTGAGCAGGCCAAACACCCCTTCCCTTCCCCCTGGCCAACCCGCCCCCGATCAGCCCGCCCACCACGATAGGCCCCCAGCCCCCAGCTGGCCTGCCCCTGATTGCACCCCACCCCCACCCCAATAGGGGGCAGAACTGGCCAACCAACCTCCTGTAACTCCTCCCCCCAGCTGGCCATGCCCCCAATGGGCCCCCACCACCCTGATTGGTCTGCAGCCACCCCCGTAGCCAGCCTCACCTCAATAGGGGGCGGGACCAGGCAGCCAACCACCATGGCCCCTCCCCCAGGTCACTGGCCCCCAATTGACCCCCCCACCCCAATCGGGGGTGGGCTGGCCAGCCAACCTCCTGCCATCTTCTCCTCGTGACAGGCCAGCCCCCACCCTCCCTGACTGGGGCCGAGCTGGCCAGACCCCACCTGTGCACAAATTCGTGCACTGGGCCTCTAAGTTGGTAATAAAATATTGCTCATACTATTCCCTTATCATGTTAATGTCTGTAGGATTTATAGTGATGCTTCCTCTTTCATTTCTGATATTGGTAATGTGTATCTTTTCTCTTCTTTTTCCAAATCAGTGATTAGAGGTGATAGATTCGGTTCTGTTTCTTGAGTTTGTACTATTTATTATTTCCTGTCTCTGCCTTGGTTTAGGCTTAATTTGCTTTTTTTTTCCTCACGTATTAGAGACTTTCTTCCTTTTGAGTGTAGGCAGTTAATGATATAAATTTTACTCTACTCACTGCTTTAACTTCATCCTACAGTTTTTGATATGTCATTTAAAATTTTAAAACAGTTCAAGATATTTTCTAATTTCCTTTGTGACGCTTCCTCTGACCTGTGGGTCATCTAGAAATGTGCTGCTTAGTTTGAGATTTTTAGATTTCTCTCTGTTACTGGTGTCTGGTTTAATTCCATGATGATCCAAGAACAGACGACGTGTCAGCTAAGTCACTTAGAATTTATTTCGTGTGACGGGAGCCTGGGGGAGGCGAGATTGTGGCCACAGGCAGAGGGTTCTGAGCAGCAGGGGGTTTGACTAGAGTTGGTCTGATCGCTCCGGAGTGCAGCGGGGTGACAGCGGAGAGCGGGGATGCCAGGACGGGGCACCTGGGGCCCGAGGGTTCCCCTCGTTGGCCAAGGAGAGCGGACAGTTGTGTGCAGGGAAGCTCGTGTCTGTGTCGAGGCTCAGATAACGGGGCAGAGGGTGCAGGTGAGGCAGTAGCTCGGTGTCCGGAGGGCCCTGGGCTGGGAGCCGGCCGGGGTTCACCGTCACCCCATCGCTCTGGGCTTCGTCTCCTGGCTGCCCACGTAGGCGGTTGGCGCAATTTCCCGGCAGTTTCAGCGCCCAAGCCGAGGCCCGCACAGGGGGGTCTGTGATATCGGGGACCCAGGAGGCTCTCGGAGGCCTGACCTCCAGGCTGCCATGCGGCTGCCCCTCTGACGGGAGACAGGCCCTGTGTGTGCCTCTGGCCACGGGCTCCACGGCGGGCAGGTCCTCCCTGTGCCTCTGGCCACGGGCTCACGGCGGGCAGGCCCTCTGTGCGCCTCTGGCCACGGGCTCCACGGCGGGCAGGCCCTCTGTGCGTCTCTGGCCACGGGCTCGGACAGCGGGCAGGCCCTCCGTGCGCCTCTGGCCACGGGCTCCATGGTGGGCAGGCCCTCCGTGCACCTCTGGCCACGGGCTCCATGGCGGGCAGGCCCTCTGTGCGCCTCTGGCCACGGGCTCCACGGGGGGCAGGTCCTCCGTGCACCTCTGGCCATGGGCTCACGGCGGGCAGGCCCTCTGTGCGTCTCTGGCCACGGGCTCACGGCGGGCAGGTCCTCCCTGTGCCTCTGGCCACGGGCTCACGGCGGGCAGGCCCTCTGTGCGTCTCTGGCCACGGGCTCGGACAGCGGGCAGGCCCTCCGTGCGCCTCTGGCCACGGGCTCCACAGGGGGCAGGCCCTCCGTGCGCCTCTGGCCACGGGCTCCACGGGGGGCAGGCCCTCCGTGCGCCTCTGGCCACGGGCTCACGGCGGGCAGGTCCTCCCTGTGCCTCTGGCCACGGGCTCCACGGGGGGCAGGCCCTCTGTGCGCCTCTGGCCACAGGCTCACGGTGGCTCTAGAACCAGGTGCTTTCGGTGACAACCGCCTCCCGCCAGGCGCGCCCGGCCGCCGCCGGCCCCCTGGAAGGACCAAGAGAGACCTGAGGGGCCGCCCTAAGGGGGAGGGGCCTCGGACTGCCCCGCCCGGAGCACAGCGGCACGCGCCGAGCGAACCAGTGCCAGCGCCTGCGTCCCGGCCGGCACCGGCAGGTCCCACCGCCCCGGCCTCCACGGCCTCCACTCCCGGGCCAGGGTCACTCCGGGGCAGGGGTCACTCCAAGGGCAGGGGTCACTCCCGGGCCAGGGTCACTCCGGGGCAGGGGTCACTCCAGGGCAGGGGTCACTCCAGGGGCAGGGGTCACTCCCAGGGCAGAGGTCACTCCCAGGGCAGGGGTCACCCCCGGGGGCAGGGGTCACTCCCAGGTCAGGGGTCACTCCCGGGGCAGGGGTCACACCCGGGGGCCAGGGTCACTCCAGGGCAGGAGTCACTCTGGGGCCAGAGATCACTCCCAGGGCAGGGGTCACCCCCCGGGGGCAGGGGTCACTCCCGGGTCAGAGGTCACTCCGGGGGCAGGGGTCACCCCCAGGGGTCAGAGGTCACTCCCGGGTCAGGGGTCACTCACTGGCTCTCCAGGTCCTGGATGGTGTCGGGGAGGGGCAGGCCCCGAGTCTCCAGGAGGAAGGGGAGGACAAGGCTGGACGCGATGAGGACGGCCCCGAAGGCGAGGGGGGGCAGCAGCGGCAGGGCCTGGCGGGCCATCATGACCAGGGGGCTTACCACCGTGCCCAGCCGCCCCGCCAACTGCAAGAGGCCGTCCGCCATCATCTTGTGGGCAGAGGGTGGCCCGTCAGCGGGCACCAGAGGGCGGCACCGAAGGGGCATCTGGCCGGGTCAGGCGGTGCCAGGGGCTGGGCCACGGGAGCTGCCCTCCTCAAGGTCTCCCTTACGTCGCCTCCTCCATGGAGCCCACCCAGCTTGTCCCTCCCGGGCCTCTCCTCCCTCCAGCTCCTCCCGGGAGCCTCCGGCCCACTCCGAGCCGCTCTCAGGGGCCGGGCGGCCGGCCCCGGGCTCCTGCTGGGCCCCGCCGGCCGGTGTGCGCTTTCTATGTGATAACAACAAACTCAGCAACGCACACCAAACGGAGTTTGGACAGGATGGCAGGCGAGTGTGCGAGCGCCATGCGTGAGGGAACGGAGGGCCACTCCTGCCGTCCACTGAGGGAGTCCTCTGACTCAAGTCCTTAAGCCTCAGTTTACCCTCCTGCCCAAGGTGGGGTGGTCTCCCTTGAGACCACTGATGTTCCATGTCTGAGGGTAACTCTGCTGGGGGGGGGATGGGAGGGGCAGGGAGGGGCAGGGAGGGGCAGGGAGGAGGAGGAGGGGTCCCCACTGAGCCAGGCAGCTCCTGGTGCCCTCACCAGGGCTGAGACTCTACCTGCACGGAGGGCTCCGCGGCTCCCAGTGGCTCCCAGCTCAGCCTGAAGGCGCCCGGGCCTCTGTGTGGCTCTGAGGCCTGCAGCCGGGAGGGCTGCTCTGAGCCCCGGCTGAGGGCGCCTTTGGGAGGAGCCCTGGGCCTTGCGCTCAGCTCTGCGTTGGCAGCCGGTCCCCTCTGCCCTCTGCCCTCTGCCCTCTGCCATGTCCCTGGACACCCAGCCCTCCTCGCCCTCCCCCTGGCCCTCTCAGGGGTCCCTTCCTCCCCCCTCCCCCCACCTGGCAGCCGCCTACCGCAGGGCGGTCGGGAAGAGCTCGGCCTTGTAGACGGAGTAGCAGGTCATGCACAGACCAAGGCAGCCCTTTCCCAGCACGGCGACGGCGACACGCAGGGCCTCACGGTCTGGGGGGAGATGGGGCTGCAGGAGGGCAGGTCTGGGGGGGAGATGGGGCTGCAGGAGGGCAGTCTGGGGGGAGATGGGGCTGCAGGAGGGCCGGTCTGGGGGGAGAGATGGGGCTGCGGAGGGGCGGTCTGGGGGGGAGATGGGGCTGCAGGAGGGCAGGTCTGGGGGGGAGATGGGGCTGCAGGAGGGCAGGTCTGGGGGGGAGATGGGGCTGCAGGAGGGCAGTCTGGGGGGAGATGGGGCTGCAGGAGGGCGGTCTGGGGGGGAGATGGGGCTGCGGAGGGGCGGTCTGGGGGGGAGATGGGGCTGCAGGAGGGCCGGTCTCGCGGGGAGATGGGGCTGCAGGAGGGCCGGTCTGGGGGGGGAGATGGGGCTGCAGGAGGGCGGTCTGGGGAGGAGATGGGGCTGCGGAGGGGCGGTCTGGGGGGGGAGATGGGGCTGCAGGAGGGCCGGTCTGGGGGGGGAGATGGGGCTGCAGGAGGGCGGTCTGGGGGGGAGATGGGGCTGCGGAGGGGCGGTCTGGGGGGGAGATGGGGCTGCAGGAGGGCAGGTCTGGGGGGGAGATGGGGCTGCAGGAGGGCAGGTCTGGGGGGGAGATGGGGCTGCAGGAGGGCAGTCTGGGGGGAGATGGGGCTGCAGGAGGGCGGTCTGGGGGGGAGATGGGGCTGCGGAGGGGCGGTCTGGGGGGGAGATGGGGCTGCAGGAGGGCCGGTCTCGCGGGGAGATGGGGCTGCAGGAGGGCCGGTCTGGGGGGGGAGATGGGGCTGCAGGAGGGCGGTCTGGGGAGGAGATGGGGCTGCGGAGGGGCGGTCTGGGGGGGGAGATGGGGCTGCAGGAGGGCCGGTCTGGGGGGGGAGATGGGGCTGCAGGAGGGCGGTCTGGGGGGGAGATGGGGCTGCAGGGGGGCAGGTCTGGGGGGGAGATGGGGCTGCAGGAGGGCAGGTCTGGGGGGGAGATGGGGCTGCAGGAGGGTAGGTCTGGGGGGGAGATGGGGCTGTGGGAGGGCAGGTCTGGGGGGGAGATGGGGCTGCAGGAGGGCAGGTCTGGGGGGGAGATGGGGCTGCAGGAGGGCAGGTCTGGGGGGGAGATGGGGCTGCAGGAGGGGGCTGGGGGGGGAGATGGGGCTGCGGAGGGGCGGTCTGGGGGGGGAGATGGGGCTGCGGAGGGCAGGTCTGGGGGGGGAGATGGGGCTGCGGGAGGGCAGGTCTGGGGGGGAGATGGGGCTGCAGGAGGGCAGGTCTGGGGGGGAGATGGGGCTGCAGGAGGGCAGGTCTGGGGGGGGGAGATGGGGCTGCGGAGGGGCGGTCTGGGGGGAGATGGGGCTGCAGGAGGGCAGGTCTGGGGGGAGATGGGGCTGCAGGAGGGCAGGTCTGGGGGGGAGATGGGGCTGCGGGAGGGAGGTCTGGGGGGGGGGAGATGGGGCTGCGGAGGGGCGGTCTGGGGGGAGATGGGGCTGCAGGAGGGCAGGTCTGGGGGGAGATGGGGCTGCGGAGGGGCGGTCTGGGGGGAGATGGGGCTGCAGGAGGGCAGGTCTGGGGGGGAGATGGGGCTGCGGGAGGGGGCTGGGGGAGGGAACCCGGGGAGGGGGGCTGGGGAGGGGGCGGGGGGAGGGGACTGGGGGAGGGGGCTGGAGGAGGGGGGCCGGGGAAGGGGGCTGGGGGAGGGGGTGGAGGCCGGGGGAGGGGCGGAGGCCGGTGCGTTCCGTGCGGAGCCAGCGGGGCAGGGACCCGGGCCTCAGCGGCCTTGCCCGCCGCCGGCCTCACCTGGGGGCACCAGCACGTTGGCCAGGATGGAGAGCCCGCCCGCGGCCTGGGAGCCGGCCCGCACGGCGCGGCAGCAGCAGCCGTCGGCGCGCGGCCCAGGGTCCCCGGCGCCGAAGAGCACCTGCAGGAGGAAGACGTCCCCGCCCAGGCGCTGCCGGCCGAGAACCAGCCCTAGTAGGAGACCATGTAGGCGAAGCTGCGGGCAAGGCCAGAGGTCAGGGCCGCCGCCGCCGCCGCCGCCGCCGCCGCCGCCGCCCGGGGAGGGTGGGGGGCCGGGGCCACCTCCACCCCAGGGGGGAGGGGCTGGGCGGCTCCTGGCACCACCGGATGGCGGCCGACCGGCCGGTGGACAGGGCGCTGCGGTCAGCTGAGCTGCTCCCGCACGCGGCACACACACACACACGCACGCACACACGCACACACACACACACACACACGTGCGCACACACGCACACACACGCACACACGCACACACACACACGTGCGCACACACGCACACACGCACGCACACACGCACACACACGCACGCACACACACACGTGCGCACACACGCACGCACACACACACACGCACACACACGCAGACACGGGCTGACACGGAGGGCCCAGAGCCCCGCCAGCCGCTGGGTAACGGCTGCAGGAGAGGAGAGGGCGCCCCGGTCTGAGCTCTAAGACGGAGCCCGTGGAGCGGCCGGGGCGCCCGGGAAGCCCGGACGCAGGAAAGGCGGCCCGGACGGTCCTTCCAACGCGTCAGGAAGGAACGTGCACACGCCACGAGCGTGTGACCAGCTCTGTTCTGAGACGCAGCAGATGTCTGCCATGACCACCCCACACGTGGTCGAACACGGCATCAGATAGACGCCTCAGAACCTTCCGTTTTATTTCGAGACTAGAGGCCGGGTGCACGGAATTTGTGCTCGATGGGGTCCTGGGCCTGGCCTGCGATCAGGGCCGATCTGTGAGGCAGCCAGCAGGGTGATGGGGGGGGCCCTGAAGGCACCCTCTTTGGTTGGCCTGGTGCCACCCACTCACCAGCCCCGCCCCCTGCCACCGTGGCTCTGTGGGTTGGGGGCAGCTCCTGTGCTGAGCATCTGCCCCTGGTGGTCAGTAGCTGTCATAGCGACCAGTTGTTCCATCATTTGGTCACTTTGCATATTAGGCTTTTACTATATAGGATGAGTCCCCATTGAAGCTGACCCTCGCTCTCAACAAGCCCTCCTGGAAGTGACCTTAACTGCGATTGCTTTGTTAAGGGGATATTTCTCGGTCCCCGGCGCCCTGGGGTGCCAAGACAGGGCCTCCTGGGGCTCCACGTGGGCCCAGCAGGTGAGTCTGGGAGAGGACCCAGCTCGGCCTGGGCTCGGACCCTCTCGTCGCCTCGGGAAGTTACCTGCGCTCTGGGCCCGCCCCCTCCTGTCGTGGGGGTGGTCAGAGCAGTAAGGGGGTGCCCGGGCACGCAGCCCGCTCGGGGGGAGCTGCTGGGGGAGTCCAGTGCTGACCAGCAGGGTCCGCTCCAGCCACCGCGGGCCGGGCTCCTGCCGCCCGGTGCTCTCAGCCTGGCCCGGCCTCCCCGGCTGGCCTCCTGCAGAGCTGCCTCCAGACCGGCCACATCCCCTCTCACCGCCTCTCTCCTGCCTCCGGGGGGCCCCTCCCAGCCAGAAAGGCACCAAAGAGGCCTACAGGGGTCCCCACTCACAGCGCCCGCCCTCTGCAGCTCTGCGTCCCGGGGGGGAAGGAGGGGGCGGGGAGGGAGGAGGGGCGGGGAGGGGGCGGGGAGGAGGGAGGGAGGGATGGGGAGGGGCGGGGGAGGGGGCGGGCAAGGGGCGGGGAGGGGGGAGGGGAGGGGCGGGGAGGGGGCGGGGAGGGGCAGGGAGGGGCGGAAGGGGGTGCTGAGGGGGCGGGGAGGGGCGTACTTGAGCACCAACAGGCAGCAGGTCCTCCGGCGGAGGACAGGCAGGCGGAACAGGTCCAGCAGCGACCATCGGGCCTTGGCCGAGGCCCTCTCCTCCTCCATGCAGGACCTCAGCACCTCCGGGGAGGGGGGGGGGGGGCACCTGAGGATGGGGCGGCGGCCCGGCCCACCAGGCCCGGGGTGGTGTCCGGGTGATGGGAGCCTGGCCCTGACTATGGGGACTGGAGAGCCGAGGGGGGAGGGACAGGCAGGGTTCGCCCTGCCTCTGGCCGAGCTGCTTCTGCAGACCGGGCCCCCCACACGAAGCGAGGGGAGTG